CTCGCGTACCCTACTCGCGTGCCCTATTCGCGTGCCCTACTTACGTGTCCTATACACGTGCCCTAATAGAATGCACCGGTAGCATTCTTGATTACGTGCCATTGCACGTAGAAATGAGCAAACACATGTATTGTCCAACATGTGTATTTTTGCGCCTTATTTTATATAATTTAACAGATCAATAATTTGGCTTTATATCAATTAAAGCAAAACTTCAATTGATGTGATAATGTAGATGAATGGGCTATGAAAACTTAGGATAAAATCGGCGCAACATGAAAATAAGTTATTACTATTTTATACAATTAATAAAATTAGTAGCGCCTTCTTCATTAAACAAATTAAATAAAATTTATCAATTGAAAAAAATATTTTTTATTCTTTTCAAATTTTTATTTTAGTCTACATCTTAAATTGTACCTTTGATATATTTTAATGCACATTGAAAAAATCTAGTAAAAGTTATTTTATTTAATCTAGCCCATTCATTTTGAGGCAACGGATCTATCTACAATCTACAATTTACATTTGCATCTACAATCTATAAATCTACTAATCCGTTACCTCAAAAGATATACTTATCAAATTATTTTCCGATACTTGATCACGTTTAGGAAAGGAATTTGAACGAAGATTTTGACGTCTCGCACTGCTACTTTACTGCGCGGATGTCGTCGTGTGAATGATAACACATAAGAAAGAAATTTTATGTTGATGGAGCGTCTCGCCCCACTATAGTTCTTATTCAAGTGTCGCGGTATCAGTAATAACAAAAACATGATACGTAAACAATAGCGCGCCAATGTTTACGCCGCCAAGGCTGAATACCATGTTATTGAAAAGTCGTTGCCGAAATATTTTATGTACTATTATCAATATTATATATATATATACGCGGAATATTAAAGTGTATAAAATATACTTTGAATTATGATTAATTATATTTATTAAACGATTGATGTATCGCGAAGTCTTGTGTTAATTACTCGATTTTGCGAATCGGTTGTTTAATTGCTCGATCTTAATCTGAATCATATTTAGATGCTGTTAAAAGTCAAATGCTAAAGCGTCGAAAATATATTTAATTTTAAATTTTATTTTTGAAGAAATAATTATTTCTTATCGTGGTAATGTATGTAAAAGATAAATAGATATCAATCTTATCAAATTATTTTCTGATACTTGTCGCGATCGCGTTTAGGAAACGAATTTGATGGAGCGACTCGCCCCACTACAGTTCTATTCAAGTGTGAA